TTATATTACCCCATAGATGCTGAAAATGTCCTCTGTACGTTATTAGCTTTTCCAGCCGACGTTGGTTAGGGGTGGGGGTTGGACAAAAGTTTACCGGTCTTCGTCGCCCTGCGTGGTGCAGTCTTGAGCGCGGTGAGGCGGTGTTTCTGCTAGGGCTGCTCCACTTGGATAGCGTATCCCACGTGCTGCCTCACTTACTTACAAACTTCGTGGAAAGACGGAGATGTCAAACCTTCCGAACGCCGTATGCATGAGGCCAAAGTACTGGTGTGTTTTCTTTGATGTCTTTTCAGTTTGCCTAAAACAGTCAATGTCATCGTGCACGAGTACTTGCAGATCGCACTTAGGATAATTACACTGCAGAATTTCTGGCCCAAGCTAGAAGTTCTGAGTACTCTGAAGGCGTATACTTATGACGTTGCATTTGACAGCGTTGAACTGGAGTGTGTTTTCGGTGAACCATGTGTAATCCTTCGTCAAATCACGTTGCAGAGCTGTGGGATCCTTCATTGTAGTGTTAGCATGTCACATCTTTATATCATCGGCGAATAGTAAACTAATTGTACAGTGCACTGTCGTGAGGTCATTTATGATATCCAGGAATAGGCATGGTCCGACTACCGAGCTTTGAGGTATGCCGCAATTGACTTCAATTGGGTTCACCAGAGTAAGGTGAACCCTTATCTTCAAATGATTTTTAAAATTAAAGTCGCCTATCCAACTCAGCAAAAGTTTATTGATTCCGAAATTCGGAAGCTTTTGAAATAGAATGAGATGATCTAAATCTAGATAGCCGGGATCTACTCCTACTCCCACATCGATAGATTCCGTCGAGCTGTCAGTTCGTCCGCAATGCATTGCCGATTCTGGCGGACTCCGGTGCCTATTTCATTGGAGACAACCGAAGCCGAAGTTTTCCGGTCCGTCCAATGGAAGGATGTCAGCATATTTGGGCCAACTCCCAATTTGTATGCAGAGTAATGTGTGACTGCGGAGCCAATTGCACAGACAAAGCAGATAGTGTCTCAACTTCTCGACTGAAGAAATTTTACTGGTATGGGTTCAGCGTGAAACCGCCCAGAACTCCTACGGCCCCTTCCTCCATAGGCAATTGCCTACTAATGTAGAGTCACTGTATATCCTATGGCTGTGTTAAAACTTGTTCTGCGTTGCTCCAGTCTCCGCTCCTATCCTTTTGTAGAGTGTTGCAATAAGTGAGATGGAGGCAATTTTGAATCTTCAAATCAGTATCGGCCTCAGGTTACCATATATGTAGAGACGGAACTTCCGTCATTCACTCTGCCCAACATATCTGACATTAGTTATATATAAACATATCAGTTTCGTTACCGGTACTGAGGAGGTAAAACAAAACGCGTGTGGCAAAAGGCCATCTTTTTACTTTATCTTCCAAATTCAATTTAGTCGAGTACTCCGTTTTGTCCGACATTCTTGCCTTTAAATATATTTGCGCATAACGCAAGATCCTATGACATACGGTGTAATTGAATGACAGATCAATCTCTGGCACTCTGTGTCAATTGACTTCTCTCTTGCGTCAACTGGAACTTCACTAGTTTGTTTCGTTCCCTTATTTTCGTTTAACCTTCTCTCTTGCGCCGTCGCAAAGTGCTTCATTTTGACTGTCGCGGCGCTGGTGTTGACAGTTTGCTGTGGTGAAGTTGTTTTAGCAGACCATGTAAAAAACCAATCGCTTGGAGGCCCTGAGAGCACTTTTCCACCGGAATCAACAAGAACAAAGCTGGCTTTTGAATACGGTACTATTCGCAAACAATTGAAAACTACAAACATACAATAACTAAGCTAATTCGTCATGGTCACTTCCAGTCAGCAGGCTTTTCAAGTGTTTCTACCTTCTAGGTCTCGTAATTGGTGCGCCTTCTAGCAGACCTCTGCCGGGTTCCGCTCCCATGACTTTCGGATGACAACATCCAGTGCTACTTAGCCATGGGTGACAGCCACAGACCTGCAGGATTGACAGTTGACTACGAAATAGCCCGGCTCATCTTCCACTGCTATGCCAGGTACGGACTGTGCACAGGATAGCGGCTAACCCCACGAGCTAGGACTTTCCGCATAGCGCCTTGGCACGGCACAAGTACTTGGAAACTTTACGGACAGATTTTTATCTTAATAATGAGTAGTTGGAATTTTGGTGTTTTTCCAGACTTGTCAAAGCCTGCTGACTGAGAGTGACCATGAGGAATTATCTGAATTGTACAAAAATCTCCTCTACTCATTAGTAAAATATGCAATACCTCGATAATCTGTGCTTCCGGCACAGGAGTGTCAACGAACGGCAACTGTCCAGACTAGCCAACAGGAACGACTACAAGACTTAGGTGGGAATGAACTCGTTTCAACGCATTGCAGCTTCAAACGGGCCTGCACAGGACCAGTCGGAAAAGCGGAGGATACCATGAGCCGTGCCCTCAGTGATGACAATACGTTACAATTATACCACAAAGGGGTACAAAACAGTAGGCCGTATGAACTAAATGGTTTCAATATGTAACCTACACTCACAACAACAGTGCGATATTGTCAGGTCACACTTGCAGTGTGAAGTGATGTGGGCACAATGGATAAATATTGGAACATTACTGTGCACCAATAACAGCACATGGACGTATTTTGTGGAGCGATAGTGACGTTCATTCTGAAGTTATAAAAGTACAGAACAAACACGTAATTAACCTAACATGAAAAACCTAATATGCGTTGAGCCAGAGAAACAAATGGTTCTGTGGCAAGGAAAGGTTGAGTAAATAATATTGGGCAGCACTTCTTGGTGATAATTAAGCGGGTTGCCAGTACTACAGGATAAAGTACTCGGGTTTCTTTTACGGACCGTCTGGCTATCCTATTCACCAGGCTTGAGGTGGTGCAGCCAACCTTGGCGGTAATATCCGATTCATAGGCATACGCACGACATAAATCAGACCGGTTTACCATGAATATTTTCTTTGTTGTATGGGTCTACAGGATAGTATAGGACTTAGTTTAAAGTATATCCATTGCGGTATATATTGCAATCTTTGTGCGGCATCACACTTGTTACTATTGGTCTGATAAATTTGAGCAGACGCGCAGGCAGACCAGGATAAGACGGGCTATTGACAAACTACATCACCAATAAGCCAGCGATTTTTATTGGTAATATTTATCACGGTCATATCGATTCACCGTTTTGCCTTGAAGCAGCAGTCCCGTAAATGGATTGTGACAGGAAGTTTTCATTTAGACCGTGATTTCGGTGGTTTTAGTGTTTGCAATCTCTACACTGCCGCTTACTCCAGCGGATGCTCGAAATCGGCCAACTTCGGCAGCTAGACTCAAAACGATGTGTCAGTAAATGAACGATAACCTCATTATCTCAGATACCGTTCTAACATTTCTAGTGTGGCGAATATCCGGCCCTCCTCTCCATATACATAGTGTATTTGGGAAGATGCTATTGACGATAAGTGACTGAATTTTAACCAGGCTAGATGAACCCCGAGACGTACTGTACGCGTCATCAGATCAGTGGTTATCAACCTGGTCCTAATTACCTCCAAGGGAGTAAAGTGAAATTTTATGGGGGTAAATATACTTTTAGGGACTGACCCATAAATCTGTCACCAAAACATTAACAAGAAGATCACTGGTATCAAAACGTGCAACTAAGTATCTATTCACTATTCACTAGGTCTCAGTGACTAAGCATTAGTGAATGCCCAGAGAATCAGCCAATTTTCGGTAATAAATTTTATAACATAAACTAACAATACAAGCTTGCAAAACAACGCAGCTAGATGGCGCCTTTATCAGCTAGCTTCTCGATCGTTGTTCTTTTGAGTCAGGCAGTCGTTCGCCGGGTCGAAGTAGAGCATTGAGTGAACACAAATGACAGCCTACCAGATGAAGGAGCGACCGAACGTTTACAAGGTAGAAGAGACAAAACAGGCGATTAGTGTTCAGGACTTTTCAATACAGTTTGCTGGTGGGAATCTTTCATCCAGGACGGACTTCCAAGGGATAGTTGAAACCAAAGATAAGCCACTGACATGTATTCATGTCTGGTCGGGGATCACACACCAAAGCAAGGAACCGAATGAACTTGGAGCACGACTTACAATATACACTAGCCAAAAGCGCACCAAATATATCAGAAATTGTTAGAACTAGGCAATATCAACTTATGAACTTTACTCCCGTCTGATGTTTTAACTCATTTTCTTATTAGTTGTGGTGTACCAGCCTGACGATATCCACCGAAAACGAGCTTGTTCGCTGACTCTTGTTCTGATATTTAAAAATTGCTTAAAAGTTGGTGCCTTCGTTGGTTGAATGATCGAAGGCAATTAAACACAGCATTCATTCTTGGTAATTAAAAGCAAAAGTTGAAATAGGCAATTAACTTTTTAAACTAACTTTTGTTACGGGTACTTGTTTATAATGAACCCGCTTTATGGGTAACAGCTTCAGCAAGGATGCGAACTCCTGCATTAGACCCCATCATCCACGATCGTGTTTAAGAGTAGTTAGTCTCCTTCGCATGTATGTGTACTCGCGTGCTCGTGTTACTGAAGATAAATGCACAGTGTCCCCTCGAAGTAGATCAGTATGCAACACAGCTTTTAATTGAGTACACTGGGAGTTAAATGCACCGTGTACAAGAACCGTCGCATCCATGTTGCGTCTGTGGTATAGTTTCGATAGGACTGACTCTGTCTCACACTGTTCATAACAGATGAGATACTAATTCTATACAGGAAATATTTGATTGCGATTTTTCAGCATTGGTTGTAATAAATGTTTAACGCTTCTACTTCTGAATAAGAAGTTCGTGTATCAGTGGGGAAGGATATTCGGTAAAAATGACCGCCAGCGATTTACCGTCTGTTAGCACAGGTAAAAGTAGATCTTGCCCGCAAGTGACGTGGGAACTTTAAAAGCTGCAATCTACTTTAAGCTTTCATAAGCACAAAACTCACCATATATAGCCTTGGTCATTTTGTATTGTCCAGGTTTGAGCTGCATATATCGACTCGCCATTAACGCGTAACCAAGCCCCCAGCTGTCGTAGGCGCTCTTCGTAAATCGGTCCGATCGTTCCCCATGAGGTAGGGCCCACGTTAATTAGTATATTGCCACCGTACGCAATGGTGCTTGCCAGCTCGTAAACTAGCTCCTGTGGTGATATTTGAAACAATTCGGAATAAGCTTGTTGTGGGCTTGACAGGTGGAAATAAACGGACACAAACAAGGACAGTGATAAAGTTTGAAAGAACTTCATCTCATCTATTTAGTTGATCACGATGACTGCAAATATCCGTCAAAGCTCGGCGGTACCGATATCTAGCTGCAGAGGGAAGCAGAGTAACAGGAGGAACGATGACTGTTGCAACGGAACCTGCACTGAAGAAGCGGATTGCTATTGGGCGTTGCCCACCCGGAAACACCGAACAGCACCACTGCTTTCAACAAATATTCCTATATCACCAGGTTCGAGGCCTATTATATTTATCTGGTGCAATCAACTAAGATACAAGTGATTGTGGAGTGTAGCGTTTTCGGGTGAGCAACTCCCAATATCTGTTTGCATCATCACTTATGATCGCAGTCATCAAAGTGGCAAAGGTTCGCTACAATGGGAATCGCCATCCACACTGAAATTGCGCTTCGCTATCAATTCGCATAACATGTCCTTCAAAAGAACCTTCCAATCAGAACACTACACCGCTTGTATGGGTTTGAAGCGGGTTACTAACTCAGAACAACTAAATGATAGACAAGCATGGAAGCCAACCAGAACATACAGAGCGCTCGAATTTTCAGGAGAATAAAAATAGTTAGGTTATTCTCCAATTGGCTGCATATAATTGACTGCTAAATATGTTGTAAAACGTCAGATACATTTGCATCTTGGGTTAATGCTTACTAAATTTCGATGGAAATACCTAAATAGCGCGCAAGAACAACTAGTATAGAATGGATTTGGCGGCATGAACGTTTAGCTTTGCAAACTTTTGCATAAGGTGCTTCTGAATTTACCGTATCTCTACATTAACGGAACCTACACTAGGCTTCCGCGTTGGCTTACTACCGTTGAGCGCATCTACGGAACATGGACTAGGGATTTGGCAACCATTTTCGTGTCATGTTTCAAGTTGATTAGCTCCTGATTTTCGGAGGTGCTGAACCTAAAATCTATGGACTGGTTCCGCTCAAGATTACGGTGCAAATGCATGCGTATTTTAATAACCTCGGGCGCTTGGATACCACAAACGGAACCCAGTGCCTTTAACTGTTTGTTCGTCGTTCCTTTCGGCTTGATACGCTCACAGTGCCGCTCGATACTACTCGCGTAAGCTCCGATATCGCCGGTGCACACTTACCGAGCTACATGTAGCTGTATCAGACGCTGAACAAGGAAGACCGCTCGATCAGATCGTCATTTAACAAACCTACAAGCTGGGCAACAGTGAAATCTTTACAGCCTGTACGTAACATAAAGTTGGGGAACTTGTCTCGCTCCTTGGTTTCAAACTCCCACCGGTCATCAGCATACCGGAAAACGTCTTCATATCTCTTGAACTAAAATTCGAAAACTATGCAGGCATCCGAGTCCCATCGAAACTCATCATTGCCGTTAACTACGGCATCCACGGACTGCTGCTACTTTTCATCGTTTGGTTCTCCTTGCACCGCAGGAAGATGGAAGGTGTCCACAGTCAACCGTGCCTGGCTTTCTTCAAATTTCTTATATTAAGGTTGAAGTATGGTATTTTCAGGTTCTTAAATCAAAGAAACTCCGTTACCAAGTTGATATATTCACCAAGGTTGAGCCGTATCATTCGGCTTCTTAACCGTGTCAGTTTGACAACCAGAATCAGAACGGTGAAGAAGCCATCTTTGCTTGATTTAGTGCTCATGAACGAAGAGTTCAAGATCGTGAAACCGACGACGGAGAGCCCTCTGCGGCTGAGTGATCGCGTAACGATACCTTATAACGGTGTGTGTTGTGCGGAATATCCACAAAAAGATATAGACATGTTTCGGACAATCAGACACTACGATATACTAACAGAACTTGTTAGAGATGCCATCAGGGTATTCTCGGACGACTGTTCCATTGGTACTGTCTGGATGGAGTTTGTTGGTAAGTTCAGTGATCTACTTAAATCCGTATCCGATTTCAGATCCCTTCGTTCTGCATAAGTACCTGCAGTCATTCGAAGCGGAACCCGAAAATGCATGGCAGTAAGAGAATCCGCATGACATGTGTACAGAGCGAATCCTAGCTCTGATATCTGGAGCAACTATTTAGTGCATAGTAATCACTGTACCAATCTGGTACGTGAGAAAGACTTAGTACACCGGCCGTGGCTAGCGGAAAGTTTTTGTGCTAACGACATACTTCTGTACCGACATGTGAACTGTCTCCGGAAATTGAAGCGTGGTATTCCCTCACCCATCTCAGCAAATGGATGGGCTCAAACCGCCGAGGATGTAGATAACATTCCACGGCTCCGATATACTCCAATATTCTGACGCATTAGCAACATGTCTCACATACCTATGCCATTTCTCCAGACGCCCGCATGTGCACACATCACTTTTAGTTCAGCGACCGTTTTGAGAAAGCTGCAATCGTTGTGCACACATGGCACCCCCCCGGTGTTAACAACATTTCCCTGAAAGCACTGCGTGTCGCACCTACGGAGGTACCTTAGCCATTAACCCGATTTTTCCTTAGTTACCTGGTTGAACAGCAGGTTCCTAGCGTGTGGAAGCAACGTATCATTAACCCGATATTCAAGGGTGTTAGCCCTTCGGAGCGTGCCAACTATCGCCAACTGATTCTCCTCCCTGTACTCTCAAAGGTGATGAAGTCGATCATAGCTGTGGCACTAATGGGTCATACAGTAAGATCTGACATCATAGAACCGGCGAAACTTAGGTTCCACCACCATCGTTCATGTATTATCAATCTACTGATTGCGTGTGACAGTTGGACGGGAAGAACGGATAGTGAGACCGGTGTTGCTGTCAACTACCTCGAGTTTTCTAAAGCATTCAACCGCTTAGATCACCGAATCATTCTCCACACGCTGCCAACTTACGAAATTGGTGACCCTGTTTTTAATTGGATCAAAAATTTCTTTCTTCAGCGGCGACATCATGTTCTGGCTCGGAGTTCACATACTGATCCTACTGATGTGGATTCCGGTGTTCCACAGGGAGCAATGTTGGGGCCGCGCTTATTCTTGGTCTAAATCAACGATCTCGCAAGTGTCATCAAGTCGAATTTCCTGCTTTTTCCAGTGGTAATCAAGATATGGTTGGTATTCGGCTGTCAGGATGATCACGACCTGCTGCAAGGAGACTTAAACCGTGCTTTGAATGGTCCGAGGCAAATCCACATCCGTTCAACGCAGATGGATGCAAAACTGTACCTGTACTCGATATGCACAACGCATATAAGCCTGGAGATCACCATTTGCAGATCGCCTCAAGCAGCGCGACGTTGGGGTGCGTATGGAAGATGACCTCGGCTGTTCGGCGCAGTCCGTGAAGGCGTCCAGAACCGGTAACCAAAATTTTAGTCTCCATAGGATGGCGTTCTGGCGGTTCAGCCCCTCCATCTTCCCTGAAATGCTCAATAAAAATACGCAGCCCCATTTGGAATATGCGAGTCAGGCCTGGCAAGCCTGATCAAAATGCGATCTGGCTGCAATGCAGACACCACAGCGAAGGGCCACAAGAAATATAATGCGATTGCCCTACCTGTCATACCATCTGCGACTGAAAGCCTTAGGAGTGTTCCGCAAGTGTTACCGCCATCTACGCGGCGCCGTCATCCAGGTGTACCGGATCTTTATAATCCAGGCCACGCTTGCTGCCACCTCCTTAAACTTTCCTGTAACACAAAGTTGCGTGCTCAGCAGTTGCAACTTGCTACCCAATGCAGTCGGCTGGAATGTCGATGGAATCATTTTTCTCTTCTAGTTCGTCGAGTATGTCAGCTAGTGACCGAAAGGATTACACGCGGGCTTGCAATTCTTTGGTCGCCGGTTCGAATGCGCGTAGGAACGGGTGTCCTCACGGTACACTCAGCACACGCGCGACCGGTGGTGGTTGCGTGACAACGAATAGTCGGTACAATGTGCCGACATACCGCTGAGGACTTTCTTTCGTCGACTGTGGAACACTCTTTCAACTTTTGTGATTTCTGCGCCCGCGTTACCCATTTAAAAATAAACGACTTGGCGATTCATTGCATCAACTGCATTAATTGAGTTGACAACGACGCAGACAAATATTGTTATTCACCAACCCCCACGAAACCTGGGCAAACTGCCATACATGTGTGTCAACGTGGATAATACGTTAATCCATGCATACATTGCACTTTATTGCCACACTTTATCAAGCTTATATAATTCATATAATTCATCATTCGTAAACTGTTAAGCCTTAACTGCTTTTTATCCGCATAAAACCATTGTGCTATTTTAACATGCTGTTTTGAGTCCGGCCGCTCCTATTGGTTGATCAGGAAAGCGAGGCTTCTGTCAGTAGTTTAATCGCCCCAAATCGATACAGACTAACTGTCGTTATGTTTGAGGTGAGCTTTTTGGATACGATCTGTCATATTTCTTGGAATAAACCTGAAACAGACTGGGAAATCAATTTTGTAAAGGCTTGTATCACGGCTACGATTCGCACTTGACACAAACCCGGTAGTACAATCGTACCAGTAATCGCAGGGACCGCGGTAAGAACTGGAGAATGTACACGGTCGCACATGAACAAAATTATAGACTTACTCTTAAGCGTTATAGATTCAGAAAATACTATGGTCGCTTATATGCATTATAACTACTTGTCACAATGCAGAACGATGTTCAACTACATCATTAATCAAAATGCAAGGTTAGGTTATATTCGAGATCTAGCGCCACGCATTTAGGCGGAGTAACGTGTACTGTGAGTTTCACATAAAACCTTCAGTCACGTAGTAAATGTAGTGAGACACTGATAGGTCAAAGTGCTACAAGAATGTCTGTAGGCAGACGGGCAGTATTAAGCAGATTTGTGACCGTTATGCTACAACATAACAAATGCAACCAGATCTGGAGCTTTCTGAGTGTTCATTATAACAGCGGTTAGATTCGTCCAACATAAAATGGATGGGATCAAGTTTATGCCGTCTTAGGAGCCACGTTTCTACCTTGTTTAGCCATAAATTTTCACGCTCATACACAAGCAACCAAGGAGCACTGGAATACG